ATTACATCGTGTTCAAAAGCAATATTGTTGTTATAGATGTGAAATTGAAGTACAAAAATGAGTCTTAGAAATAAAAGCGTCAGTCTCGATTTACTGTAGACATATCAAAGTAATAGATTAAGTTATAAAGAATTAGAGTTTAAACGGAATTAATGGGAAAACGATAACTCTAATCAGACAACTTAACACTGACTAAATCTAAATAGCAGATTCAATTACTTGCAGTGAGAAAATGATTTGCCAGGATTTTCTATCATGAGTTCATCTGTTGCTGACCAAGCAGGTTTTGATATTTGAGAACTTGGCGGTTTGAAGCATTCAGCTTGCGATGGCCATGCGTCCCATTGACTGAGGCGCATGTTGAGTTTTAGATCATTGGATGGAGTAATACTTGCGTGAGAATTAAAATTTAAACTATCTGGTTTTGGTTGTATTAGAAAGTTTTTCATAAGAATGCTTTCATCGCTCTTTCTTTCTTGCATGATAGAGAAGTTTTGAATCATAATAAAATAACTTCTATTTCAGCTTACTTTGGGTATGTTATTAAAAAAAACGAATTATTGCATCTTTGTGAAGTCGTATTTTTTATCAAGATAATTTCTATGCATTCTATTCAAAAGAATCAGAACTTAAATAAATAATATTTATATGTAAATAGATGTTGATTGAATTTTCTTTTTCTATTAGACAATAGGGGCAACAATGGAAACAAAAGGCAAAGAACTAATTATGATTTGTTTGAGAAGGGAAGGCTAGTAAAGAATTCGCTTTCTTTTGGTTAACAATCGTTCACTGATATATACCACTCACAGAATAGGTTAGCGTCAGATGCAGTATTTTATTTTCTAGCATCAATCCAGGCAAATTCGCACACGTTTGTGGACTTTTGTCTCGCAAACTTTGAATGTTCTTATTTGTTATCCTATCGAAACACTTGTTATACCAATCTGCTAGAGTAAATATTTTTCTATAAGACTATTTAACCGGTTCGTAAAGTATTGAAAACTGGTAATTTGGTCATGATTTCTCTTCGAGCCTAACTGTTTCGCCGATTATTCCGGCTGAGGTAAATCAGCAAACATACTGGCCAAGGGGAAAACAACGAAAATTTCAGTTATAAAGCCTTTGAAGTCTGATGAAGTCTCGTGAATTTCCATAAAATCGTTTGAAATGTCTCCAGAAATTTAAAGCAGGGTGTGGATATGAGTCTCATTTCCATCAACACCCACACTCCACACCCTTATTATGTAATTGTTGCATATTAATGTCATATAAAATAATACAGCCAGAACAAAACAATTTCCTTTACTATGCTTATATCTTTTTTTTCTTACAGTTAAATGCTTCAAGAATAAATTTGCAAAAAAGTTTGAATGTTGCACCATCACGCTGAAAAGGTTTAATTTCTTCTTGTCCATAGGCTTTTTTAACCATGCATATAGCATCATAATGTTTCTTTTCTTCATCATAAAGAATACAAATACATTCCTTATATGAATCTATATCTTCACAATATTTTCGAATATTGATATTGGTATTATTTTGTTGAAGTTTTACTATCGAAACAACGTAAATTACTAGACGACACACCTTAGCCAAAGCTCGAATCAATAGTTCATCAGTTTGCAATTTTCCTTTCTTAATTTTATCATAATAAATTTTAACAGCTTTAGACTTAACTTCAGCATCAAATTTAGAATTGATATCATATCCTGGTACTTCACTGTACATACTCCAATTTTGACGAATACGATCTGCCATCAAAGAACGTAAGCGTTCGTTTTCCACCATTTTTATCACTCCATTTGCAAAATGTACTGAGGTATACAAAGATGAACCATCTTCATCGATTATTTCACGGTGGAAGCTGAAAGTTGTAGCGAATTTCATGCCTAATAGTATCAACTAAGAATATTTGACACACTAAAATGAAAATAAATTAGACATAGCATTATAGCTATCAATATTTCTTCATGTTCAATAAAAAGAATACTTTCTACCTTTTTGGTAAATGATATGTAAGAGAAATAAAAAGGTTGCTCTTAGACGCTGACTTCAGTGTGTTCCTTTTTTTCTCTTTCAAAGCGAGGAAAAAAAGATAAGACGTTGTTGACTCATATTGTACTGGATAAATTGTGACTCAATATCTGTTATTATTCATAGAGACAGCAATTAATAATCATCAGATTTTTTTCGCTTTCACATAATATTTATTGGTACTATGAAATACATGTTCATCTAAATATGCAATCTCTTCAATTTATAAATAAGTTTTGATATTTTCCATAAAAAAAGAATACCATTAAAGTTAATCAATGTAATTATTTCTGAATAGGAAAAGAATTAAGTGAAAACTGAAAGATATTACTATGAAACAATGACGATTCTCAAATCTTTATTATCTTTATAAGCAGAATAGAAAGAGAGCGAAACTGCGTAATGTGTGAAGAAAGAATAAACAAAAATATAGCATTAACAAATTTACATGAAGTTGAAGTTTTCCAAGGGTTGAGAAATGTAAAATTTCCAATTTTCTTTTTTGTAATAGCTATGTATGCTTAGAAAGAGCGCACCAAGTTACTTAGGAAAAAATAATTTTATTACTTCGACTAGGATTTTTTCTAGAAAAATTTTTTCGAACAATGAAACTTTGATCAAACAGTCATTCTTACTCCTTTGAAGGGTAGGTGTGGGTGTGGGTGTCGGTGGGTGTTCTTTTTTTCGAAACCCACACCCACATCCGCACCCTTCAAGTAAAATATAAAATAACAAGCAAAAATAAAATAATAAAGCATCAAAATAAAGTTTGCAAATGATGTTGAAAAAAATATAACAGTGAAAGCATCGAAATATCACTGTGATTATATACATCAACTATTTATTAAGTTTTTTAAGTGCGAAAATCTTTTGTTTTTGGTTTTCCTGTATTTCTTGCTATAAGTTCGTCTATACATGTCCGTAGCTCGACGCCAATAGGATTACATCTCACATCTAATGTTGTAAGTGTCTATGTAGTAACAACAAAATCATATATAACATACGTAAAACCTGAACTACCCACTGTGTTACTTCGTAACGAACCAACGAGATGTTGTCCACCGACAACTCCGAATGCATTTTGTTGAAGATATAATGATTGAAGTCCCTGTATAGAAAATTTAAAGATATGTTTGAATGAAGTGAACACAGCTTATAGTTATTTTTACTTTATTATGTATTAAAGCAACTGCCAAGTATAAAGCTCCTTGGTCACTGATTTTATTTTTTTGAAGGCCTAACTCTGTGAGTGTCTTCGAAGATCACAAAGGATAGAATCTGAAGGAACGACAAGATTTTTGATTTACTGTGTTGACTCTTAATACACTTGCAATATCGTATGCACCAGTGTCTTCAACTTGATTGTTACCAATATGCAGTTTAACAAGCGTCTATTTGAAAATAATGGCATGAATATGGAATAGATGAAGAATTTCAAAAGATTACACTATTGTCTTTTAATGCGACTGCAAGACAATGTACTCCACTATCTCTCAATTGATTATGCGTGAGAATCAGTGTTGTGATTGTCTATGTGTGTATATGAAAAAAAGAATAAAGATGAATATCATTGCAGTACGAAGGTTTAAGACTAACTGAATTCTTTCTTAATACATCAGCAACATATTGAATTCCTCTAGGACTGATATCATTTTGACTAAGATCAAGAGTGGTGAGTATCTAGATGAAAAAAAACACAATGGAATGAGATATCGATTAGTACTTCGATGTAGTTCACCTTATTGTTTTGGAGTGCATTTGCAATATACTGTGTTCCATCATCTGTAATTTGATTACATCGAAGATTCAAAATGGTGACCGTCTGTATTAAACACCATAGATGAATAAAATAAATGAAACAAATTCATGACTCACATTGTTAGTTTTTAATGCATCAGCAAGGTACTTTGCACCTGAAACTCCGAATCTACATCCTGAACGATCCAACGTAGTAAGTGTCTGCATACATCATGAACAAGTGAATGTCAGATAATTTAGAAAATGTCAAGTCACCTTATCGTTTCGTAATCCAACAGCTGCTCCAACAGCTATACATTCGCCATGATTACCAAATAATTCGAGTTGCTTGAGTGTCTATGGCCATGGTAAATATAAATACGTAAAATATAAATCAAAATGATAATTACAATATTATCATGAAATCCTTCAACAAGGTTTTGTGCTCCGATAGACCCAATTTGATTGTCCTTAAGATTTAATACAGTTAGTGTCTAGCAGTCAAAGAGAAAATAAACAATCGAGCCGAGAGAAAAAAATTGTATGAGTTACTTGATGATTTCTTAAGCCTTCTGAAATGTACTTTGCTCCTATGTCACCGATTTTATTTCCGCATAAAATTAATGTACTTAGTGTCTATGGGTTGAAAATTGGAGTAAAAAAAAACTTGAGAAAGGAGAAAACAGTTTAAATGACTGACTGTATTGTTTTTTAGGGCATCAACCAGATAATGCACTCCACAATGTTCGATTTCATTTCGACTTAGACACAATGTGATGAGTGTCTGTTTTGGAAAAAAAGATGAATAATCTCAGAAATATGTAGAATTTTTGTCATATTTTACTTCATTGATTTGTAATGCATCTGCAAGATATTTTACTCCATCGTCTCGGATAGTATTAAAATCAAGATCCAACGTAGTAAGTGACTTTGTATAAAAAAATTGAAAATGAATTAATTTTTTTGATTGTATGAAAGAGAACGTTGATGACTCACAGTTGTCGTTCGGATTATATCGGCAATATACTTTACACTTGTTGATTCAATTTGATTTTGTCTAAGATCAAGTGTGGTCAGTGTCTATAAACAAAATATAACATTGATATAAAGTCATTGAAAAAAATATTTTTCTTACTCTGTCGTTTCGAAATTGAACATTTACTCCAATTGCAACACAATCGCCATGATTACCAGACAGTTCAAATTGTTTAAGTGTCTGCAATTATGTAAATATATATAGTTGTGAGAACTTCCAACATTATTAGAATCACTGTGTTATTTTGTAGTTCATCAACGATATTTGCTACTGCTCGAGATCCAATTCCATTGTGTCTTAGATCTAATATCGATAGTGTCTATGGAACAAAAATTGATGAATATATAGAAAATCTAGTTGATTCCACAGTTCACTTTGTTATTTCGTAAACCATTAAGAATAAATTGAACTCCAGGATCTCTGATTCGGTTGTTTCCCAGATACAATGTAGTTAGTGTCTAGACTCCCAATTAAAAAAACTATATATACAAAAGAGAATGATGCTGAATGATTAACTGAATTATTTTGTAATGCATCACCAACATATTGTGCTCCTCTAGGTCCAATTTGATTGTAACTTAGATTTAAAAAGATGAGTGTCTGCATAAAAAAAAAAGAAGAAACAATTCAGAAAGATAAGAAATATATATATCAGAGTTTACTTTGTTCGTATATAAGGCGTTAGTTAGATATTGGGTTCCCTGATCTTTGATTTCGTTGTGTTGCAGATCCAATGTAGTTAATGCCTTGAGATTGAAAATAGAAAATACATACGAAACTGATATGAAGATGAACAACTTACCTTGTTATTTCGTAGAGCAGCAGCAATATATTTTGCACCCGCAATGCCGATTTTACTTCTTCCAAGTACTAATTTCGTTAATGTCTGTTTGAAGAAAACAAATTTCGATGTTGAAATGTGTTTAGTTGATTGCTTACATTGTTGTAGTGCAATGTATTGGCGAGATACCGTGTCCCTGTCGGCGCAATTGGATTGTTTCCAAGGTCTAATATATTGAGTGTCTGTGTACAAAATATATGAGTGATGGTGTCCCTAACAGAAGTCACATTTTATCTAACTATGCAAAAACGGTCAACTGACCTGAAAAAATTCTACTTTAATTCCTGATTTATCATTCGTTCAATTCTAATGTTTAATAAACACTTATAGATTAATACGTAACTTACATTGTTAGATTTTAACACATTAACGAGTGCCTGTACCATTTTGTCCGTAATTCCATGATTTGTAAGATCCAAAATAGTCAGTGTCTGTAAACATAACATAAAATATTGAAAAAAAAACAGAAAATATCTAGGATTACTTTATCATTTCGTAATCCAATAATCAATTCAGTAGTGATACATGCGGCATGGTTACCATGCATATGTAATTTTGCTAGTGTCTTCAATCAATCGAAAGAGCTATTTTAGTAATATGAATCATATAATGACAAATACTTTGTTATTTTCTAATATATTAAGAAAATATTCGGCTCCTTTAGACATTATTCGATTCTCTCTAAGATCTAGAACGCTGAGTGTCTACGATGAAAACAACATATGATATTTGATCAGTAGAAAAAGTGATGATTGGATCGAGTTGTTTACATTGTTATGCTCCAAAGCATCTGCAAGATATTGAGCTTCACTATCTCCGATTCTATTTTTGGAAAGATTTAATTGAATGAGTGTCTATATTCAAAATAATAATAAAAACATGAAGAAAAAAGAAGAGACTTGATCCATTGCTTGGTTTTTTCATAAAGCATCTGCAAAATGTAGTGCTCCTCTATCTCTAAAGATGGATGCTGAATATGCAAAATGAGTTGATCTCTTACATTATTAGTTCGTAACGCATCGGCAAGACGCTGAGTACACGATGCTTCAAGTCCACAATCGCTAAGGCTCAGTGTTGTAAGTGTCTAGATAAAAACAATAAGTTGAATATTAAAAAAGAAATAGGAAATTTGTAAAGTTGTACCTTATTACATCGTAGAATATCTGCAAGATATTCAACTCCTTTATCTTTAATGTCATTTCCTGATATATTTAATGTGGTGACTGCCTGCCAATAAAAATGAAGATGAATATCGGACATAGAAGTTCTTGTTGGCTCACATTATTATTTCTTAATACTTCGCCAAGATAAAATACTCCGATTGGTCCGATTTTATTATATGTAAGATTCCATGTAATCATCGTCTAAATGAAGAACAACAAATGACAATGTCAGATCGGAAATCTGCTTCCACTCAGTTTTTATCAAAAAGCACAAGTTTTTGCATAACTTAGTCACTTGCGACCCATGCGTTTTGCTAATAGTGTTTGATGTTTTTACTGAATATTTTCATTTTTCTTAAACAGACTATTCATAAGTAGATCGAGAAATCCCATTACATTAGAACTTTAACTGCATTTTATCGTTTGAAACAAAAGAATAGATCAAATCGATGAAGTAAAATATTTAGTAAAATTATCGAACATCTAAATGTGTTTGGTATTTACTCATTTTCTTTAGCACAACTTTTCAAATCAGCTACTGAATATTCCTCGGTAAATCCTGACGTATGGAACAACTATTTCACATTGAATAAATTTTGATATTCTCTATCTTATTCACTATGACATACCGAGCTTGATACGACTAAATTTTTCAGTATCTTTCACTTTATAAGGAATAGAATATTTAAACTTGAATCTTTTAGATGTGATGATTTTGTATATAGGACTAATAATTAGGACTTCTTCTTATCTTGCCCCTTGCATACTTTGAATCAATATCTCTTCGACATAGCCTTATAAACGGATAAACTCATGGATTCGCTTTGCACTATGCTCTTCTTCATAGAACTCTAACAAACAACTCGAATTTGTATGCATTATCACCTGATAGCTCTAATTTCATTCTATCGTGGGCAGTCATATTTTATGATGATGACTGAACTGTTTATCTAGAAATAATTGCTGATTAATATACTAGTGATCACGAAACAGGCGCTGTTGCTGTGTTGATCAGCGAACAGCAAAAGTGATCCAGTCATTATCAGAGAAAATGAAAGATTTTAGAATAAATTATAATGATGATTCAGTTTAACCAATAGGTCTTCACACTACGTACTTCCTTCGCATGGGTATCAACCAATCCATTTGCCGACTGCATAATCAAGTGATAAATATTGTCCTCTGAAGATATTTCAAAAGTGGTTGAGCTGTCAAAAAATTCCATGTTGATTGGTATTGTATAGAGCCTAATTTTGTTAGATGGAATAATATAATCACAATTGACAAGACAATGTTTTCCTTCGAGCCAGAATGGCGTTTGAAATGGAACAATAAGTGACTGGAGACTAGGGACCTTATTTTCATCGATAGGACAGTATGAAAAGAAAAATTCGAATTTATTCAGTAAAGGTAAAGTAGACAAGATGAATTGTTGCCAATAAGAACCATCAAACATTCTGTCCATTATTGATTTAGGAGAATACAGTTTGAGATGAACAAGTGAAGGTGATAGTGAAAGTACAAATTCGAGATTTTCTATTGTAAGGGAACATTCTGTAATAGTTAATGATGCCAATAAAGAAGAAGAGGCGAAAGTTAAGTTCGAAGAATGCATATTATTCGAAGCACTGTATAGAGTACAATCTGTCATTACAAATTTTCGTAAGCTAGGTACTTCATGAAGAATCGTTCTGTATTGATCATAATTGCATCTATGAATTGATAAGTACTTTAATCCACATTTCGCTAGCCAGAAAATATGTTCCATTATATTATCTAAATTATTTAGATCAAGTTTCGAAAGTTTAAATCGATCAATTGCTGATGAAATAAGAGACAATGTTTGGTCATGTCGTTGCTCACTTGACTCAATTGTGATTGAGATAGGAGAGCAAGTAGTCATATACTCTAAAAAATATTTTAGTTGCATATCTGTAACTCGACAAAGTTTCACCAAACGAAGTTGACTAAATCGATTCATATCAACGAGCGAAAAAAATTCAAAGATTGAAATTGGAGGCATACTGTTGTTGTTGAAAGTCACTGAGATGATATTTTCGGGTCGAATAAGATTGCAAATCCATTTAAAGTAATATTTTTGATTTGACTCGAAGACGACGTGAAATCGATTGTATGTACTGGCAGCACCATCAAGTTGTTTGCAAACACAATGGGCTGAAAGAATCGTCTGTATATCGCAATGATCGAAAATGCAGTGAATTATTTCGACTGGTAATCTGTGTAGAGACGTGCGTTCCATTAGTCAATGCTATCGAAATGAGTGCTTCAACAAGTGATCAGTTTTTAAATGATCGAAATCTATAAAAAAAAAATAATTACGGAGATAATTGTGATTCATCGTTAGCATTTCTGCAAATACATTGCTTACTATTAATAGAATTAGAAGTTCTATCGATACATTGAAAAAAAGAGTACTGTGGTAGATTTTGATTACAATTCCATTACTTAACAAGACTCATTAGAAAAATAGAGTTTTATATCCAGTGTCCATTGTACAGTCATGCGACAAGCAGATAGAAAGAATCAATAAGCTTTTCTACCATTACAAACCGTGACGGACAGAATTAGTTAAGCTTCCGAATACCAGTGGACGGAGTCCATTGTGTTTCACATTTGAATCCTTTAGAGACTATGCTAAAAGTATTTTAAAATTAGATGTATAGGAAAAGAGCTTGACATGTGCTCTCGTGGAATATATATTGATTTTCTACGAACTTCAATGTATAAAAAAAACTGTTGGAAAGGAGAGTACTGCCTTGTAAAAATTCTCAAATTTAAAATTAAAAAATGCAAAGATGTTTTATGGAAAAAGTTTGTTGACCACAAAGACGATTTTCATATACGAAGTACATTCCGCATATAGTATATGCGGAGACTAGCTCACAATTTCTGCTATAAGTGTTCATCTATATATTTCAGCATTGAAGATATGCTAAGGAATGAAATAGCAATATGTAAATAGGAATACATAGTCACTATATTAAGAGAACACCTATTCTCGAGCGTATAAGTTTCAGTTCTTTTCATGATACAAAAATATCTTTCCCATTTCGCATGATTTATGCTTCATAACGAAGGTATCTTGTAACGGGCGCTCGAAAAGTTTTTGGACAACATAATACAAAGTGAAACCATAGGTGGCGGAAGCTGGAGGCTGGGTGAGACATGAGCCTCACCCGAATTTGGCGTCTGGAGGCTCAGCCTCACCCAAATTATGTTTTCGGTGTTTTTTTGCACGATGGTTTAGACTTATCAAATGAATATTATTTCAGTGCAAAGGTTCGAACTTCTAATATATTTATTTATATGTTGTGATAAAGAAAACCAAGACATTCAGACAATAATATACCCACTAACTATGTCCTTATGGTTCATAGCGACACATTTTATCTCATTTACGTAAAGTCGTGTGTACTAGACCAATTGTAGAATTATCCTATCAAAAGGCATCAAAACTAGCTATATTAGAGTGTGTTCTTATTCTTTTTAATGGATTCAGTCATAGGCGGCGGAGTCTGTAGGCTTGGTGAGCCTTAAGCCTCACCTGATTTTGGCTCCTGTAGGCTCAGCCTCACCGAAATTTTGAATTTCATGTTTAATCGTTTCTATATGGCTTCAAATTTTCCATAAATAAAATCTTACTTTACTATGAAAATTAATATCTGGTAGGGGAATCTTCGCGAAGCTATCCCCCTTGGTTGGGATATCGGGGATGTCGAAAGCTGCCCCCCCCCCTTGGCCACTTTTTCAAGAAAAAGAAATTCTTTGTGTTTGTCCTGGACATTCAGAAGGGAGGTCAAAAAATGCGATTTTCACCTGGCCGTGTCTACGAAATTATTAGCCCTCCCCGCTCCCTAAAACAATCGACAACTTTGGAACTGAGCCTCACCTAATTCTGAGACCTTCCGCTGCCCCTGAGTGAAACACATATATAAAAGCCGTTGGAAGAACTTTTTTTTACTATTTACATAGCTTGTCTCTTCCTCTATCTGTACTATTGATTTGAGATTTTTCGATTGACTGATTGTAGCCAAAATGATTGATCTTCTTTTGTATCTAAATACGTTTTATTAGAAAAGCAAAATATACCGAAAGATGCAGCATGAAAAGCTCTACAATCTACAAAATAAAGCTTATTTTAACTGTGTACTTTTTCTTTTCTGAAAAAGCGAAATTTCATACAACCAATTTTCGACTCTGAGAAGAAAATTATTTCTCGCTACGCGAGTTATTTCTTTTGATATTGTCGAAAAGTAGTTGGATAGAGAGACAAGCTATGTAAATAGTAAAAAAAAAGTTCTTCCAATGGCTTTTATATATATGTTTCACTTTTCATTATATTGTCCAAAAACTTTTCGAGCATTCGTTATCATTGACTGCCTTAAAACTTTATCTTTTGTCTGCAACCGATACTTCAATAGGGGAAAATCTAGTTCATTACTCACTTGTGACTTCATATCGTGTCGATGTTTAACGATACACATACTCAATTCTGTAACTAGTGAACAAAATTCAACTGACTTTTGTCTTTTCTCTTTCGTCTTTACTAATCTAGTTTTCATAGTGGCTGCTCCATTGAAAGAAATTATCAACTAAGCATTGTCATGTGGAGAAAAGTTGCTTGCTTTTTTCTTTCCAACTATCATATTGAGGTGCGTCAGTCGAACACGTCGCTGAAGGAAGAAACAACACGACACGTGGTTTGAATAGCGATGAAAGCAAATATTGCAAGCAAACAAATAGACCCTCTTGCATCAAGCCAATGGAAAGATTGTGTGAATGTATCGGTCTCGGTGCAAATCTTCCCTTCATTCGCTCACATTCACACCTACGCTCCAGCTACACCCATACTCTGTTCCAAACAAAACTAATGAGAGAATTCCTCGAAAAGTTTCGTCGTTTGCACAATGAAACATAATAGCAAATATTGTTTCTCTACAAACGTTATTTGAGCGTTATATCACCATCTTAATCAGTGGGAAAGAGACACGTGCTGAAGGTAAAACAAAACAATATCTACCTCTGACATTAACCGAGAAACGATCGCACAGAACGAAAAAAAAACGGCATTACTCTGTTCTTTCTCGACGCATATTCACATACAAAACACGTCACCATGTACAAAATGAAAGTAAAGCAGGAACCATGAATCACGAATTTCTATTCGACGTGTTCGA